TATATATCTATCTGATATATTACTTGGGCAAACAACAAAAGAATATAATCAATTGTATATACATTTAATTGAATGTAATTATAAATTAATAACTAAAACTCATGCATATACATCATGTTGATTGTTACTTGAAAGTCATCAAGTTGATTTAAATAAATTATAAAATACAAGAATTAAATAATGGTATATAAAATAATAATTTAAATTCATATGATATTTTATTATCATTAATTAAAGATGATAATTTAACACAAAAGATTATATCAATCAGTCTTGAAACACTTTTAATAGTTGGTCAATATCCTAAAAATGATATATAGCGTTTATATGAGCGTTCAATAACAAGTATAAGTCAGTTGATTATCTTGTTTTAATACTTGCACGTATTTATACATTATTACAACGACCAAATGAAAATACAAATTCATTAAATAATGAACATGGTAATGAAGAATAAGAAATAATTGATAGTTCATCAATAATATCATCATCAGATAATATTCTCATTGAACTTGTTGCAGAATTATATCAACGTACTAAACAATCGTCAACATTATCATATGAAGCTTTACTTTTATTACGTTCATTACCATTATTACTTGTACATATTGGTTTATTGGATCGTTTAATGAATAAAATGGTTTTTTGAATTTGTTGCATCAACACAACAATTATATCTTCAAATACTTGCATACACAATTTTTGCTTTTTTTTCGTGCTTTAATGAATGAACTTTGTTATCAATTACAAATATTGCACAAAGAAAATTAATATGTATGGCTATATGGGGGTTAGTTTGTCTTATGTTAAGTGCATGTCCATCACATACAATTGCTGATGCTTTGTAAGTATTTACTTAAATCATTTATCCTTGCTGATTTTTTTTTCTTAGTTCTTTATATTAGTCTTTAAAGAAAAAAAATTTCTATTGATATTTCATATTGATGATTTAATAATGAAGTCGTATTTGAGCTGTTAGATGAGCTAGTTTTTTTGCACCTATGGTGAATGGTTCTTCCTGGTTTTCTTTTTAAAAATTATCAAGACTTACACATACGATTAACATTTATTTGGAAAAGATAAATAGTAGAACATTAATGAAAGAAAAACTCTTTGTTGTAATTGCTAAGAAATAACGATCAAAACAAAATTAGCAAGTTTTGCCATGAAATGTCAAAAGAATTCTCATAGATAATATTCATCGTCTTGGTGTGGGTGTAGATATTGTTTGGATGTGTTGATGGATCATATACACTCTCTCACCCATACCCACACCCACAATAAAGACTAAAAATATCGATTCATAAAATGAAACATATCAACGAGTATTCATTTATCTATTTTTTTACTAGAATCGGTCTCTGTTATAACAATTGGATCTAAATTTTCTAAGCCAATGGTCGCAAAAATTAGCAAAAAAAAGCAAACACAAACATTCAGACCTGGCGATACAAAATTGGAAAATGAATGGCACCACGTAAAATACTTGATAATCGATTAGATGAGTATGATAGAACTTAGCCTAGTAGGTCGACTTAATCGAATAGTGAAAACGACAAAGCACATAAATTCGGATGCTCCTTTTGGTGGTGTAAATGTCATTTTTTTTGAAGACTATCTGCAATATTCTCCAGTGTTGGATAAGCCTCTCTATCACAGCTCTGCATTGTTACAGCAATATGCAGAACGTCAAATAGAAATACAATGCGCACAAAAAGTGATATCACAAATTAATTGCGTTGTTGAATTAAACCAACAAATGCGAACCGAAAACTCGGGTCATCGGAACTCCAAATCTTCAAGCATCTTGACAATAGAAGTCGTGAAAAGAAGTATGTCTATCCAGTCTTTTCTATATATCATCAAATTTTCTTTTGTAGGGTTCAATACTCGTTTTTCGGAACGCACTTCATACTCAAATTAACAATAGAGCCGTGATGAATAAAGCAATGGAGATGAAATTTAGGCCGATCGTTGGCCTTACTCAAGATGACGTTAAAGGAACAAGGATTAAAGATTCACAATTACGCAAAGCGATTCTCGAACTACCTGACAATAGAATGATGCATCTTCCAGGCTACTTACCTCTCTTTCCAGGGATGTCCGTTTTACTAACAGAAAATATTGCGACTGAACTTGGACTCTCCAATGTTACGCGTAGTATATACTTCGTCAGTTTGTATATGATGAATTGAGTGACGACATTCAATTCGACAAAATAGTTTTCCCAAAGCATACTAAGTTTATAACACAACCAAAATATGCTTTGATAGAGTTCTCGAGCTGCAAGCTTGATTCTGAACTCAAAGAGCTGCAAACAAAAATAATTCCGGTCGCTGTCAGTGAAAAAACGTTTGTTTTTTTATATCAAGGAGCTTCTTTTTGAAACTCTTTCAAAAATTGCCAAAGTGGCAAAACGAACAACAAAAATTTCGATCAAGCATAAAGCTCTTCCGTTAATAGCTGCCTATAGCATAACAACACACAAAAGTCAAGGTCAAACGGTTAACAAAATTATTGTTGATCTCGCCACATCTCCTGGTCCAGTTGAAAGTGCATCAGTTTACGTTCCATTATCTCGTGTTAAACGCCTTGATGATCTCCTGATCGTGTGTTATTTTGAATTCTCATCTCTACAAGTGAAGCCGTCAGCAGCACAAGCAGAGGAACTCAATAGATTAGACACGATTGCAAAAAGCACTCGAAAATGTTCTCCTTCAATTCTTTAGACAATTTGTGTCTTACTGCCGTTCTAATGTAGTTATAGTCTATGAACAATGACACATTTATTATTTACAGCACAATTCATTGCTATCTGTTTTCAGCATTTTTATCTTCATTGTTTGGTGATCTTTCTATAAGTAATCTATTAAAATAAAAACTTCATGCATGCATTAGTACAAAAAGAAAAATTAATAGTTGCAATCATCTGCCGGTATTACATTCAATAACTGAACACGCATGCGCTGAAGCAGTATGTGGCCTGAGAATGAAGCCACAGATACTTTTCCTGGGTGGATAGTACCTTTCATCTGAAGTTGCAGCAACGATAACAAAACTTTCTTAGAACGATTTATTTTGAAGCTCAGTTTTCCCAACTGAGTTTCGTCTGCACTGCATTGAGTCGCAATGTGCGAGCTAAAATCGATCTCATATTGAAAAGCAAAGTTTTCTGAGATCAATACGAACTTATTTAAACTTCTGCAAAACATAATGTATTGAATGCAAACGCAACAGAACCCTTCACTCTATCAGCGGTATTTCGAACTCAGCAATGAATATCTTCCAAACTATTCTTCTGATTCGGTGAATCGATAAAGTTTTGACGCAAATTGTTTCTGAAACAAAGTGTCTTATTCACGGCAGCATACAGTACAAAATTTAAAAAAACTGATCGCGGATTTGAATTCCTCGACCCGAAAAATTTGTGGGTCAAACCTTGTCTCAGTTTAATGAATTAACTCAGTTCACCTCCGGCACTCTAATGAACGAACGAACATACATACATACGAATGAACGAAGATAACTCACTCAGCGTATGATCTTCCTTTCAGTAGAGGGAATAATTGAATCAAATTCGCAGACTGACAACATCGATTTCTCATGTTATTGATGATTCATACACTGCTCATTAACTCTATGGTCTTTTCCATGTATTCAATGATTATAAGTGTCGATCAGACGACTGAAAATTCTGATTGAATTTATCGATTATTTTGTATATTTTTTGAATGGATCAATCAAATTCATGTGCCTATCAACAATGAGTTCATTTGCCGTTTCGATGGTTCTTGTATTAATATGTGAATCAGAAAGCCAGCGAGTAATCAAATAGGAGAAATTTAATTATGTGATTGTCTATCGTTCAGCTAAGAAAACATATTTCGATATCTGATTATTCACAACAGTAAGAAGACATTTGGTATTATCTAATCAATACTTCATTTATCATATGGATCTCTTTGATTCCGACTTCTATCTTAAAGCGTAATGGCGTTTTCTTCATCAGCAATCTCCCTACATTTTGCTTGATTAGGATGTTCTATCCGAAACGTTTTAGCAAATATAATCATGTGTCTATCTATTTGTTTGATTATGTGTTCGCGTGGACATTAACCATGACAGTCTACATCATTTCCGACAATTGGCATCGGGTAATTTTCTAAATGAGGTGAGTCTCGAATCTATACCTTTAGACAGACACGTAAGGTCAATAAACATATCGGTTTTCAAAATGAGAAAATAATATTCCATGAAAAAAAAAGAAAGACACTAGAAATCTGATTAAAATTGATCTTCGCGAGAAAAATCACAAAAAGTCGATTAAAAGTAGTATATTTTAATTGATTTTTTTGGGAATCGAAGTAATCGATTATTTCTAAAACTTTGAACTCAAATTAGTATAATACAAATTTTTGACAAATCAATACATTCTCATTTGTCAACAAAATTCAAGCAAAAAAAGTCTTTTATTCCAAAACAACAAACAATTTATTATGTTTAACAAGAAACATAAAGCGATATGCGAGAAAACTTTCCTTTTTAAAAGATTCTTGTATTGAAGAATTTTTTCGATATGATACGAATAAATTTCTTTAGACAGGATACCATATTAGATTTATTGAAGCCATAGTCGGAGCCCATAGAAAAGAAATTATCGAGACGAGGGGATCAAAAAGCATTTAATCCAGAACATCTCTAATTATAATATATTGAAGAATAAGAATATCACTCAAACAGTAAACTAATTTCAATAAATTTATTTTCATAAAACAACTAAAGACAGAAAAGTAATAAATCGACTATCATCATTACCAAAATTCAATTCATATATATATACATTCAATGGCTTCTTTTTTTTCATGTCGAACTATGTAAATAGTTTTTACATGTCAACAACTAGTGATAAATGAGAAATACAAGAAATATCGACAATAACAACATTGAATGAGATTGCTTAAAAAATACAATAAACAAAAATTTTCTTTTGTTTTTTTAATCTATTGAAGAGAGTCATGATGGCAATGATGAGAATGCATATTATCTACGAATGGGTGATGTATAAGATCTAATGCTGTTGGTCGTTGATGATAGTCTTTTGTTAGACATGCATCAATAAATTCTCTTGCTAAATAAGATACACTTTCTGGTAATTTATACCTAGAATTTATAAATTATTGAATAAATTTAAATGATAGATTTTCTTTTAATCTTCTATTTACTGAGGTTTTTCACAAGTAGCTATATGAAATATAGCTGCAATTGGTTGTAAATTTTGCCACGGTGGACCAGTCGTTAACACTAAAAATTTTATTATATATAATTATCGAAATGAATTCGAATTTTTTTTCCTTACTTTCAACTATTGTACAACCGAGACTCCTTTTAATAAACAAAAATAAGAAATATATAGATTTGTTATTTATCTATTCGAATTTCTTACCAAATGTCTGCTTTACGTCCAAAAATACTTCCTCGAATTATTTCTGGTGCTGTCCAATGAGCTGTGCCTATAGAAAAAAGAACATGTTGTTAGAAAGGATTTGAAATGCTAGATGAGATAATGATTTCATAAGGCTACATACGCCTTCTAAGCATTTATTTTAATGATTAAATTAACAAAAAAAAATTTTTTTTCGTCTTTGCATATATATAACTTACCAATAGTTCCAGAGTCTGGTTGATTCTGATTGGTAATAGCAATAAGTCGTCTTGATGTACCAAAATCACTTAATTTTACATTACCGGAAATATCTCTCAAGATATTGGCACCTTAAATAAAACAAGAAAGAAAAAAATATTATTCTTTTATTTTCTATAAAATTTTATTACATTTAATATCACGATGAACAAAATGATTTTCATGTAAATATACAAGACCTTCAAGTATCTGTTTTGTATATTTTTTTGTTAATTGTTCTGTTAATGCACCATAATTTAATATTTGTTCACGTACAGATCCACCTGCCATAAATTCCATAAATATTTGGAAATAATCATCTGTTCGTAGTGCGCCATGATATCGAACAATACGTTCATGATCAAGTTGTTTATATATATTTATTTCACATTCAAGAATTTTAACTTCCTTTACATATATGAATAGAAGAGAAAATATATTAAAATAGAATTCACATACTTGTGTAATTTCAGAATTAAGTCCACGAATAGAAATTTGTTTAATTGCTAATTCACTACCAGTATCAACATCATAGCAAAGAAAAACTTTACCAAAAGCACCTAGAATAAATCGAACGAATTATTTTCGATAAACAATAAGTTTATCTCTAGTTATAGGTGGCGAAGTGCTTTCGATGCACTACATGGATCTATCAATCTAATGGAATGAAAAACAAATATTTCGGTCTATACTAGTCTACGATATCTGAATCAAGGGTAGACTTCAGTCTATTGAAGTCTTACGGCTTCGTCGCCTATGCATCTAAGTTAAACTATGACTAACAAAAGCATTTGAATAGTATGAAATCATAGTACAGGTGATCCCATGGCTTACCTTGTCCTAATTGTCGACCTAATTTCCAATTAGTAGGTGTTTGTGGAGCTAAAAGAAGAAAAACAATTAATTAAGAACAAATTCTTTTTAACGTTTTAATATAATTCTATTACATTTATGTTGAAGTCCAGAACAAGTACATTGGGTACGTAAGGATTCATTTAAATTTGTTTGAGACGAACTACTGCTTGAATTTATTCCACTACCACTACTTGTATTCAATGATGGTGTTCGAAGTCTAACAAAAGATGCATCTATGAAATAAGAAAGAATATATACGTATATATACATATATGCAATGAAATAAATAAAAATATTGAAATAATAAAATTTACTTCGTAAACGTCGTCTTGAACTATGTTCACTTCCACTCGACTCTCGACTGGCAACAGATGAACCACCACTTGAATATGTATCATCACTCTATTATAAATACCATTAAGAAAATAACTTAGTTTTTTTTTTTTTTTTAATAAAAGAAAATGAAACAAACTGATTCCGGTATAAAAAGTCCACCATCTTTTGGTATTGCTGTTTGACTAGTTGTATTTGTTGTTGTACGACGTTTTTGTGATGCAATCGTACCTGGTGGTGGTGAATCAAGACTAGTATCATCAAGTTCAAGAGTTTGTCCATCATCAGACATTGAACCTGAATCATCATGATTATTAACAGATATTACTCGATTTATTGTATGAGATTTGTTTCTTATTAAAAGAAAACTAAGTTTATTTGATCCATTTGCTTCAGCTATAGCAAGTAATTTATTTAAATCTTCATCATTTGTAATTGGTAAACGTAATGCATCATCACGTGAAAATAAACATCGAATAAAATCAATCGATGATAATGTATGTCTACCAAATAATTTTTCAATACATTCAAGTAAATCAGAATATGTAAATGGTTTTGACAAACAACATGCTCGAATTTGACCATCAAGTTCAAATTTTAGCGTCTAAAATAAAATTTGTTTTATTAAATAGAAAAAAAATTTGAAATACTTGTGTTTGTTCTTGTGGCTTTTTACGTTGAATTGCTTTCTGTAGATTAGCTTCAATTGTTGCTAATACATCTGATTGGTTTGTCATAATGAATAATTTTTATCACCTTATATCATAATATTCTAGAATATCGAACAAAAAATAAACAACAAGTACATAAAAAGAGAGCAAATGAAATGTACTAATGAGGAAAATCTGAAGTTTCAGCTGTTGATCATATTGAAATATAAAAAATATCTCAATTGACAAGCTGATGCAAACATTACAAGAAAAAGACTGAGGCCAAAAATAAAACCGACTTCGTCTATCGTTGTGTTCGATAGTCAATCAATCGAACAAAGAAGAAGAAGAAGAAGAAGAAGAAGAAGAAGAAGAAAAAATATACTTTCGTCAAACAACATTGAAATCTGAATATATAAAATAATATTGTTTCATTGAGTCACAAATAAAAAAAGAAAGCGTCAATTTTTTACACGCTGAAATGTCGTCGTTACTCTCAGCGACTTAATAAAAAAAACATACATAGGAAAGACAATAGAGAACGAAAAAAGACGAAAACAAAAGGAAATTATCACATGAATTTCGATTTTTTTTTATTGCGTATTCTGCCATATTTTCAATGTCAGTAAAACATTCGGTCATGAAATTATTAAAAAAATAAACCACTCGAACAAAATGCGTTTAGTTGAACATTCATTTAATGTAGAGAACAATTTAGAAAAATTCTTCAAACAAAAAACACTTTTGTATTAGAAATGAGGCGCTTGTAAAAGAAAAAAAACATACCTTGATGGTGATCTATTTCTTTTAAAGTCAAATGTACCTAGTAATCAAATATGAGTGTGAGGTGCATGTTAACTTATGCGTCTGTTTATTATGGCTCAATGAAGAAAATATAAACGAAAACATCTCTTGTACAAAACAAGAAGAAAGAAAAATGATAAAAGTGTGAATAAATTAAATGCGTAAACATTGAAAAGAAAAATTATAATCTAACCAACAATAAATGCATATTGATAGATAATAAAAATTGGTTTTTGTTTTTTATTTATATTTTCTTTTTACTCGATGTTTTAAAGTATGACAATAGACATCATTCGTACATTAAGTTTTTCTTTTTTCATGGAATTTCGAAAGATATATACGAAATAAAAGAAAAGAAAAGAAATCCAACTTTCACTTTGACAAAAAGATTTTAAAAAAGCAAAAAGATAAAAGAAATAATAATTTATATTTTATTTTCAAAAATTCTAAACTGGAATATGATGAGATATAAATAAACCTTTAAGAGAAAGAATTCATTTCGAGATTAAAGCATTGAAAAATTTTCAGTCCTAAATCATGATGTTTTCGAGAGATATTCAACAAACAAAAGTCAAAAATAGCTCGTTTGGTTAATTAAATTTCTCTCTTCAAGTTCATTTTATGTGTTTAATATTTTTTTTTGTTTGGTAGAACATGTCAAGATGAAGTGCAGTACAAGGCCTTTTTTTTAATATTTATTTTTTAAGTGAAGGGAAGACATGACAAGTTCAATGACTGGAACAAACTCTTTAAAAATATTTTTGTCTATTTATATATAAGTGTTTGTATATATAATAAAAAAAAACAAAGCTTAATTTAAAGAGAGAACTCTATATTTCATTGCGTCTTGACATGCTCTTTCAAACAGAAAAAAAGAAAAAGATTTTCGGTTTTTTTTTCGAAAATAGCTCATTTTTTTAATGGGGGGTGATGAAAATCTTAAAGAACTTTTGAAAAAACAAGTTGCCTACTGAACATTTTTGTCGTTTATGAAAGATCAAATATGTTTTGATCTGCATCTTTTTCAAATGCAGTCATAAGGATTTTTTCCTCTTTATCTAGAGGATTATACATATGCATCCATGTTCTTCCTTTTCTCTTATTGTTTAGTCATATGCCATGGATTTTTCTCTTTCCTTGTATTCTCATTTCTTCATATTGTTCTATATGGATCTTCTATTGAGGCTTTTCAAATGTTATCGTCCTATATATATTGGTTAGATTGTTCGATGGATATAGATAGTTATAGTTATAAAAATAAAATATAAGCGAGATTAAGATCTCACAAGACTGGGAGTTATCTTTCCCTGCATTTATATTAACTCCGATCATTCCGATGAAAAGTGGCCTTTTTTTGAGGGAGGAGCCTTCAAGTGAAAATTCTATTTCGTATTCATTTTTTTGTGTACCCTTTTTTAACATACATATGTAAAACTTGAATTGTTCCATCTTTCTAGAAAGGAATGCTTTTAAATAAATAGTCGTCGTATCCATATACAATAATAAATCGATGATTGCTGGTCTTGAAGACAAAATATGTCATGTGTAATGGCAAGTAAATGTCATCAGTTTTTTTTTTTTTATAAAAGATTAACTGACTGATCTAATATGAGCGAATAGTAATTCGAAGGGATAGCGTATTGGTTTTTTTTAGCGTGACTTAATTAACTTAATCCTTTACCTCTCGGCGAGCCATTGTTGATCCATCTAGAAAACCTATCTGTTTGGAGCAATAAAGCATCGAATCAAGAAGGTTCTTTAACATTGTGTACGGCAATCAGTGTGCTATAAAGTGCCAAAGAATTAAACTTTTCCTTATTGTCTATTAATAAAATGTTTGAATTGAAAAATCCAATTTGTTTTTGTTTCTTGGTTTTTTTATTAGCACAAATTGATCATTTATTTTTTTGAACGGTTGACATATGTTACTTAAGGAATCAACTATTTATTCAGAATCTTTTCACAAACTATTGAGTCAATTCGTTAAAAGACCATTCTTTGAAACAACTTGGGTCAAAAGTGACCCATTGGTGTTGAATGACATGAAAAAATGTATTCTTTTGGAGATGCTTTATTTTCGATATAAACTCAGTATTAATAATATTTTCATACTAAAAACATTTATTATGACTAATAATTAATCAAAAACCAAGTCGTGGTAGTTTTTCAACAATCTTATATCGGAAAAAGTAGAGATCTTTGGTTTTTGCTATAACTTTCTTTCTTCGTCAAATTATCCAAACCGTGTCTCTCTCTCTCTCGTACCGTACTTTTGACGGTCTCATAATATTTTCGTATGACATATGACCGAGTGTGTGCATATTGAGCGTCTTTTGCATCATGTTGGCATACCTTGATAAGACTTACAGTGTTCCATGTAATTGAGCGAGAGTTCTTTTGCAATAACTATACCCATGTAATGATATTCATGATTATACTTATGTTGATGTTTCTTCTTTGTATGTTTTAATTCTCTCTCAGTCCCCATCAAATCTTTCGTGTCTTATTCTTGGGCTTTTATCTTATTGATCTGTTTCCTCGTTTTAATTGAAAATGTCAGCAATTTTGTGTCACTACAAGATTGAGTAAGAAAAGAAAATAAGTTTCTCTTTTCGCTGTTTTTATCCATCTTAGATAATTCTTGGTACGCAATGGAACAAAACAAAAGAGTATTCTCGACTTCTTTCTTCGTCCCTTTCTCTCACTTCATCTTTTATATAAATATAGTTTGTCTCTTCAATCAGGAACACTTATTCATTTGTATACTTCATATTTCTTTAACATACATATGCAACTTACCATTTCGTTTTGCTGTCGTTTCTTTATCTTGCGATTTTTTCTATCTTATTCAATTGTATTAGCTTACCTTTTTTAAATAATATCTCAACATAGTATTTAATCATAGGAAAGTCATATTGAGCACTCATATGATCTATTCCTGTAGTCGAATCAACAAACAGTTCTGCTGGATTAGTTAGTGGTTGGGGATAAAGAGTTAAACATTAAGATAACTTTAAAATTTTGTTGTTAAAATTAAATTTACTCTAAATAAAATAATTAAAAAATTTGAATGTGAGTAATAGTAGTTCATTTCGATTAGGGAAATCTATTCCACGAAAATAACTATTATTATTAAACTTGACTGAAATTATTGAAAATCGATCATTATAAGTCAAGAATAGGAATATATCAAATTTAATTCTTAGATTTGACTGTATTTAGTTGTTGTAGAATTACGAATAGTAGACATATTTTCAAGACTAAAGCTTAATTCAAAAATTTCAACAAATAATCTATCGCTTTGGGTTTTCCAGGTTTCAAAAAAAAAACATTAGTTAAGTTTTAAAAAATTGTCATTATCATCATTACATAAGCTTTCCCTAACAATAAAAATTAAGGAAGCCGAGTCTACCAAGACATTGATCCTACAGGCAATCTGAGGAAGCTCAACCTCTTGGCAAAAAATCTTGAACTTTGCAAGCTCTAACCTCCATGTTATTTACGATGGAACTACTCTCATATTTGCTTCATAAGGAATCTCGAGAAGACGAGAAAAATTCTACGAAAATTCGTGCCGGTAAATCTCTGTAACCGAGTTATGATCGTTTTACGGAATTTTCGATCCAGTTTTAGTTAGTTACTGAAAAATCAAAGGAAGGAATTTTGACCTGAAAATCCACTCGTAAAAAGCCGAAATGACTAGTAGAATGTCTTGAAAGTTTCAGCCGAAAAGAATATTCCTTTGTCGAGATATTAGATTTCCACAAAAATCAAGTTTACTTAAAATGTTAATATTTGGACAACGGAACATTCTTTTCGGTTAAAACATTCAGGCTATGCTATCAATGGGCGAAATTTTAGATCGAAATACGAGTGTTTCGATAAATACGTAAAGCTCGATCAACAACATCAGTAAAATGGTTATAACTCAGTTCCAGAGATTCATCGGCACGAAGTTTTTTTTTTGAAATCTGGAAAACTCAAAGTGATAGATTATTTGTTGAAATTTTTGAATTAAGCTTTAGTCTTGAAAATATGTCTACTATTCGTAATTCTACAACAACTAAATACAGTCAAATCTAAGAATTAAATTTGATATATTCCTATTCTTGACTTATAATGATCGATTTTCAATAATTTCAGTCAAGTTTNATCGGCACGAAGTTTTTTTTTTGCTTTTTCTAATCTTACTGAGACCTCTTGATGATCCAATGGGAGCTCGAATGGCAGGAATCAGTTCGGATAGTTCTCTCATTAGAATAGCATCTAGTTTAAAGTAAGTTAAGTACTAAGAGAACAAGACAATATTAAAATCAATGATTAAATGAGTAATGATATGTTTAGTATAAAATTAATATAAATGGTTAAACTTACTCGTTTACATCTAAGTATAACTATATTGTTTCTTTTTTGTTGCGAAAATCGATATTGTTAATTAATCAAAATGTCTCATTAAACCGAGCATTTTAGATTCATATCAAACTATATAAGGTTTATTATTTATTGAATACGAAAAAACTGCAAGATCAAATTAAAGAAAAAGAAAAGAAAGAAAATGGAAATGCTTATTTAATGAAATAGTTTTGTCTTTTATCTCTATAGAAAATCTTCATCAAATTTAAGTAGTTGTTGTCCACTAAGATTTTGTCGAAGTCCTCTTCGATTTTCCCTTTCATCTTCTTCTGCTACAGGTTCAATATAATTTTGATTTGGTGTTACTTGAGACCGTGGTGCATTTAGTTGTGTTGCACTAAATTCATAACGTGATGGATCCTGGTGACTTTGATAATCTGCACTTCGACGACGATTGAAATAAGAGTCACTTGCACGTCGAAGACGTGCAGTTATTGATTGCTTTGCACTAACAGGATAAGGATTTTCATCAGTACCCGTAGGACCTGGTCTAGCTTGAGTAGTAGTAGTAGTAGTAGTACCGCTACTAGCAGGAATAAATGATTTTTTTCGTTCAAAGACAGATGATTTACGTTTTGGTGGTGGATCATCGACTTGTCGTTGTTCTAGAAATAAATAGATATACGAAATGATTAATTGATAAAATTTAAACTTACTTTCAAGTGCTATTTTTGCATATTTTTCTTCAACTAATTTATTCCATCGATCTTCTAATAAATTATGTGGTATTTGTTTTTTCAAATTACGTATAATACTCTTTGTCATAAAGAAGTCAATACAGAATAAAGCATTAAAACACATGAAGATACCCATTATTGTACCAAATACAGCTGCAAGTATAACAGCAATACGGTAATCAGAATAGGTTATACCACGAAAACAAGTTTCTACTACAGCTGATGTTGATGTTGTAGCTGGATATGAAATATGTAATGCAACAATACTCACTCCAATAGAAATAGATCTTGGTGATTGTGTACCATTAGCAATAACTAATATTGAATTATCATTTTCACTTCCTTTGCTTCCAGATGAAAAATATAAACCACGATCAATAACAAATTGAATATTATTAAAAGTTCCAAGTGTATTTATGGGACGCACAGCAGTTGGACATTCATCGGAATTTAAAATAACTTGATAAATACCTGTCGTATAATCAAGAACATAAACATGTATATCACCAGATATACGATCAAATGATATTGAACGAATTTGATTTAATTGAGATAATGGTGGACAACATTGAAGATTATTTGCATCAAAATTAGTACATGAATAAACTGTTGTATCAGTTATAATAAATAATCGATTCAAAAGATTACTATAACCAACTGAACGTATTGTATTTGTAATTGTTGTTGGTATTGATATGTTCGTTTGCATTAAACCACTCATAGAAAATAGTTTTACAGCACCTATTTGATTTATAAAAAAAGCACGACGATTATCAATATCAGATGTAAATGAAGTTAAATTATTTATAGTTGAGAAATCAAATGTAATTGGAAGTTGATAAATAGTTGTGTCAAGTTTTTGACGAGCTATTAATTGACATAAATAAACAGAACCATTTGTTTGATTTGTAAAAAGTATATAAAGATTACGAGGTGTTGGATCATATATGCTATTTATAATATTCATATTCGTAGTTGCTGTAAATATAGTTGTTAATGCATCGTTACCACCATATTCTGTTGGTTGCATAACAAATATTTTATTTATAGTAGAAATAATAATAGATCCAACTGGAATTGGATTATAAGCACTTTTAATTATTGTCAATAATGAGACAAAAATTAATAATGATAAATAATTCATTTTTTCTTTTATTTTTAGTGAATTATGTAAACATAGTATGACTTGAAAGAAAAAAAAAGGCTATATATTAAATAATTGTATATATTTATTGCTTGTTTTTTTCTTTCATCATGAGTTGCCGAGTTATGCTTCAATGATTCTGTACGTTATTTTTTCTGATTATATTTAGTAATAAGTATTGCGTGTGATTCGTCAAATCAGTCCACGTGATTTTTTCGTTCACTTGTATGTGTAAAAATAAATAAGTAATGCATTATCACGCATGACAACATATCAGTAAGGACAACAAATATTAATCAAAATATGAATTTTTCAAAGAATTATGCATACGGATGATGACCTTGAAATTGGAATGTGTAGATACATAGAAATTAATAAAAAACTGATCACCAGCACCTTCTGACAATTCATATTGATAGAACAAAAATGAGTGTATACTTTTACTTGAATATGTTCAAAGAGCTTTTTTTTGTTTGTTCGAAATTGACAAAAAAGTTTCTAAAAATAACATCGGCTCATAAAAATGCTTTTCCATCGCTTTTGATTTTCAAGATTTTATCTATTTGAATCATATATAGAATTAAATATGACGAGTTCCTGGTCATTTGAATGTTAAATTCAAGACATTTCAATTTAATTACAGGTATAAATATGGTCTATATTCACAACATATTAAATGAGCAGTTAATTATTGATAATAGAGTCTGCTATGTGAAGATTCGTTTGACAGAAAATAAATAACAATGACGAGAGTGATTCAAAATGTTACTCTCATAGACTACTTTTTCATTATAGAATCATTCATATTTGAAATAATATTTTCAATCTGACATATCCATGTACATTACATTTTGATCTTTACTAATTGTTTAATGAAGTTTTCTTCATACTTACGAGTAAACGTTTTCAGAATCGATGGAAAAAAGGAAGAAAGAAAAAATATCGATCTCTGAATAAGAAATAATGCTTATGAAGTTGTTACAAATTTTATTAAGTAAATATAAATTATAACGAACATTTAGGGTGAATGAGACTTCACAGAGGATAATGATTGTTCATTTTCTCTTTGATTTGATATTTTTAACAACAACAAAGGTTAATCCTTCTAAAAGGGTGTGGGGCGTGAATGCAAGTCTTCTTCTCAATTAAACACCTACACCCGAATTTTTTTTTGTACTCGTTGTCTTATTCAATTTAATGATGAAATTGTCTACGTTCAACATTTTTTTGCCTTTTTGAGAAATAATGAATGAAATTATATTAGAAAGAGTAATCGTCATATCTAAAATAATGAAAAATCAATTAGTATATCTTCAGCTAAAGAATATTTAACGGTATGAGCCAATTAAAAGACGAATGTTTTAACGAATTGCTGACTAAATCTCGAAAAAAAAAGTCTCGAAAGATGAAATTCCGAAAGAACAAAATATAGACAAAAATTTCTCGAAACAATAAATTTCGAAAGATAAAATCCCGAAAAAATAAAATCTCGAAATACAAAATGTAGAAAAAAGGCTAATTCGAACAGAAAAAACACGAACTGCAATACCTCGAATTTTAATGCATTGAATTTTCAAAAAAATTTTGAAAGATATCCTCTCATTCTACGATCACTCGATCAAATTCAAATAGATATTATTATGGCTGGAGTATTTTCCTTTATTTTTCTCTCATACGCTCTTGCGTTCTTTTTTCGAACTTATTCTGTTGACCAGATTGGAATCATCGATTCAATCGTTTTTTGGCTAAATATTACCCAAACGTATGGCATTTTTTCGATAGTCTTAAAAAAGAAGTTGTTGTTCGTCAAAATATCTTAAAGACGATGATGGATGCAAAAAAGAATATAAACAGAAACGGCGTTGTTCTTCAACAACGTGTTGATTCACTTAAATCGGATTTTAATCAGAATAAAATCAATCTTAGTGATTATCTTGAAGGACTCTCTGTGTTAACTGGGACGAAGTGATATTTTTTTCAAAATTCTTTTCTTGTTATTCTTAATGCAAATTATTTACTGCATCCATTTATTGTTATAAACTTTAAAACTAAAATTTCTATTGTATTTACATGCTATCTGATAATTATAATCATATCATATACTGCTAGCGATTCGGAATTTTTTTTGTTCGATATTTTACTGTTTCGAAAATTTTTCTTTCGGCAATTCGTTTTTTCGAGATTTTTGTTTTCGAAAAGCTGTTTTTTCGAGATGTCAGTTTTTCGAGTTTTTATTTTTTCGACATTTTATTTTTCGATATTATTCTCTTCGAGATTTTTCTTCGAGATTTTTTTCTTCGAGATTTAGTCAACATACCTTAGACTTCATGTTTTTATGCTATTAAATTAGGGTATTGATGTTATCTAAAAGATGTTTTAAACTGATTCTTTTAGTTGTCTCTATGTAATAACAGTTTTTTAATTTAGATAAATAATTTATGTAACTTGTCGAATAAAATAAATCTCATATAATATCATCATTTTTGAAACGCTATTCCTTCACAAAGCTTACCATATCTAAAAGCTTTGCTTCGCGTATTTTTCAACTATTCTTTTCTTTTCTAATCATATCTTGTTATCTAAATTAGATCTTTTCTATAGAAAGTTTCAGACACGTACAGAAGGAGTGGCCCACTCTCAGCCGGAGAAAAGCCAGCAGGGGATACGAAGAAAAACGTTTGTGCGCAACGAAAACAAAATTTACCATGCTGGACTCTCCTTCAAAATGTGAAGTCTTTTCCTCAGAAAATTCATGAGTGTATGCCTGGAAAGTTTCTTTATTAAATTAATTGTTGAGCTGAGCTTTTTTTAATCCGTTGAACAAAATAGAAATTTATATATCTTTTGGTAATTTCATCACATACTAACGTTTCAATTACATAATAAGTACGAAGCATCGAAAGTCAACACAACTGTCAATATTTATAGTAAATTTTGATTCATATAATTGGTAACTATATTACCTTCATCCCATTTCATTTCGTTGAAATTTTGAAAAAAAAACCAAGTAAAGAATATAATTTTGTCAAGATTAGCCAGACCCCATTTTGACGTATTCTTTTACTTGGTCCGATCATATCGATCGATATTTTTATTGAATTAAGGTACCTAATGCAGAAATTTCCTTCTACTGAGACATTTTCTTATGCTTGATTGATATATTTCATCTTTGCTGGAATGCATTTACATTCTAGACTATTATTCCATTCGATCATCACTTGGAAACTATAAACATGGGACAAACACTTATGACGGAATTGAATGTCCAGACTTATCAAGTAGCAACTTCAAACAATAGTGAACAATTTCATATTCATCAAAATTCGAACATAAACGAGGTAGCAATCATTAATAATCATTCATCTGTTAGCAGTAATCAAATATTATTGAATACATATAATGAAGAAACCGTCAATCAATTACATCTTTCTGAAACAATAACAAATATGGCTACTTCGAATATAGTTGCCTTTGAAAGAAATCATCGTTTGGTCTCTAATAACGATGGCACTGATCCTTATCGCGGTTTAAAACCTATCATAGAATATGCCGATGAGCCTTTACTACCGCTCATGGAAGCCTGCAACCCATTAATTGGCATTGTTCACGATATATTGACTTATGCAAAGAGAGCACTCAAAGAAACTTCTAATAAACCATCTGATCAGCTAACAATCAATGAGAGTGCTGCCATTCGGCTCTATACTTTCGAATGGGAGGAACCTCATCCAAGTCTATATTATCTACTCAACAATGAGCTTAATACAGCAGATCATAATGAACTACGACCATATAACAAATTTCTAAAGCTCTTCTTGACTGGTTTAGTCAAATTGCCATGTGTTCTACCGATGACAATTTGGCGAGGTGTACTGAGAAATGTGAGTGCAGAATTTCTACAAGGTAGATTGGTGACATGGTGGGGTTTCTCATCGTGTACAACTTCGTTGCGAGTACTAGAAAGTGAAATTTATTTGGGTACTACAGGTGAGAGATCACTTTTCTCCATTGAAACCATTAATGGCCGCTCAATTCGTGCTCATTCACGTTTTATCACTGAGGATGAAGTTTTGCTATTGCCAGGTACTTATATGGAAGTCAAATCACAATTAAGTCCAGCACCTGATCTTCAAATCTTTCATTTGAAACAAATACAACCACCCGATATACTTCTCGCAGCTCCATTTGAAGGTAACTCATAGGCAATAAAAAATTTAGACATTTTTTTTTTAATTTCAATTTCATTTGAGGTGCCAAAATCTATCCGTCTGTAAGGCGAAAAACACCATGGTTCAAGAAGAAACGAAGCATATTGGAATTTAGTATCATAATCACGCTATGTATTGCTGGAATCATTGTAGGTGCAATATTTGGTTCAAAACATCCGCCTGCACTATCGAGTATGTTCAGCATATATGACATTGCATAAAGTAAATGTTTCTCTAAAAATGATTCTTCTAAGAAAAACAAACTTAGACTTTTATTATATCTTAGGTATATGGGCAAAGTCTTTTAATAATCATTTTAGAAAGTACTTGTCGTTCTTATTCATAAGAAAATTTTCAAAACATATCTTTTTCAAGCACTAAATTTGACTTCAACGTTATACATAGACATAATTGAAAAAAGTTTGAATGCAAACTTTTCCTAATGAATATAATCTATTCACTATGTTAAGTATACATCCTTTCAATTTGATTTTAAACATCATTTATTTTTGCATATAGTTATACTAATTATATAAGATAATGCCGACTGTTTGTGAAAACTGAACAGCAAAATCATCATATACTTGAAGAGCAATAGCAAACAATATTATTTGTTTTTAAAAAACTTGTTTACATTCAATGGATTCTAGGTTGGCTGCATTGAGTATTTAATTATGTCGACATACAAAGTTTTAGCTGATTGATTCATATTATAACTGAGTAGAACAAACTCAGTACTTCATAAAAATTAAAAGAATTCAACATTCGAAATGTACGAGAAAAAAGTTCGCAGCATTTTTTCTATCAATATACGTTTGCAACTATTTGAACAATTTTAACAAATTCTTTGTAGATTNACCAGTAGATGATACAACCGGTTGACTAGTATTATTATTGTTGTTATTATTACTGTTATTATTAGTAGTTAAATGAACTGTAGCTGAATTTTGTTGACGTACATTTTGTATAAAGTCCTATAATATCAAATAATAATATTTATTTGTATGAATGCCAAATGTTATATCATATATATACATATGTATATATATTTTCTTCTTTTTAAACACCTGCTGGCCTATTTATTCTTACATCTTGCATCAATGAACAAAATTCATCATGATGTCTATAGAACATATTCGATTTCATCGTTCATTTTCTTTCCAACTGTGAACTATTTACATAAGACTATTTTATCCTTGACCTGATCTCTTTGAAAGAGACTAATGATCAAGATAAATATAACCTATCGTTGTTGACAACTTCTGCATGTGTATAATATGCTCGAGTTCATATATATATAGAGAAGATAAGTTGTCCGGCTGTAACTGACATGTATTGGTATCGAGTCCTCGAACTTAAGGACATATGCACATGCATCTATGAATACTGATAGCTATAGAGTTTGATGAACACACCAAAAGATATATCATTTGATACAAAGAATTCTTTTTATATATGTATATATTTAACTTACCGATGATAATGCATCTCCATTTGCACGTCGTATATGATAAAAATAACGAAAACGATTACTTTCATCAGGAATAATATGTTCACGAAGTGTATCTTGATGATAATGATGTCGAATTTTTTTAAAATTTGTTGCTTTATATCGTTTTTTGCCTGCACTAATAGCTAAAATATAAATCATAATGGTATTTTTTTTCCCTGTCAATTTCAAATTCATGTCTATGCATAAAAACAAAACAAAGGCTTGTCTCATTCAATTTTCTATTGTTTTCAACATGCATAGACGATTCCATTAGTCTTTCTTACAATCTAATTAACCATATAATATATACAAGAAAAGTTTATTTATTAATTATGAATGTCTCGACATCTACATAGTGAGATGAATTTTGTTTATTTATTGTGTCTTTATATTAATTAAAATATAATGAACTAATTGAAATCAATCTTATTAATGTATCAACAATAAATTTGTTCTTATTTAGATGTTAACTTTCATTCATTAGCTTCTGTGTACTTATGATAACACATATAATCTGTACTGTATATATATTTTTACTTATGATAAGTATACATGCATACTTGCTCACGTTCTATGAGTTCAAGGTTAATGTTGTTATGAATGAAAAATGTCTCAAGAGAAATGTATCCTAAACAGTTGATTAAACATGAAATTTTCTTCAGACAAAACAAATAATGAAAACCGATATTTAATTTAAGTGAACAATGCAGACATATGTCGTGCACTATTTTCAAGTGTTCATATAGTACTCAATCTTATAAAAAAAAGAAAAAAGAAAAGGAATCATAGACAAACATGCATTCATTATCAAGCTGGTCAAACTCCTCTTGTGTTGATATAAGATGAAGCCAACAATAAATGTTGCGTGTAAAATGTGCGTATAGCTCAAAATGAAAAGATATGGAATAATAAATGATCAATAAGTCAATAGACTTATGCACAAGAGATTCGTTTTTTTTTATTTTTTTTATTTCTTTTATTCATAAATAACAAATATTTGCCAACATCAAGGAAAGATAGACTTTACATCAAAGCTAAGTTCTATTTAGATATAAACAATAAGATAATCAAATTCTATATATAGATTTTTTTTGCGTTTCGGGAAAAAATCTTAATGTGAAGGATTTTTCTGGTCTGTTATATGAAAAAAAAACCTTCATCGAGTTGATCAATTGACATTTCATTTCCTAATTACTAATTTTTATGAGTATTAACCTAATCCTAATATTATTATTAGAAATATAGGATACTAAATATTTTGCATACGAATTGTTTGATTCTCTTAATTGGATTTATCTATACTAAACAGCTATTCTATAGCTACATACCTCTTTGCCATGAATCTCTATGATCATAATTTTTTCCTGTACATGAAAATTGTATAACAATTCCAAATAACATAATTATTGGTAAAATAAAAACTATTATCCAATGACGAATACATAATGTTTGTGTTGATTCAAATAATAAACGTTTATGAACAAAATGAAGTAAAACAGATGATTGAAGAAAATAATCTAATACAAGTGTTTGACATACACCTGCTAAACATGATGATGTTACAATTAACATTGTCTTTTGAAAACGTAATGTTATAATAGCACATATTAAACCTAATAATAAAATAAGACCAATAGGTAACCAAAATGATGTTGTTACACCATTTGCACGATTTTTCATATCGACTATAATAAATGTTGTTATAGAAAGTGTTAAACCAAAACAAAAACCATTTATAAATAATCCAACATATTGTAAAAGTGCACCAATTAAACCAAATAATGTTGCAATTGAACATGATACACCAATTAATTGTGATTCACTCATTGTTGGTTGTGTTGATAATATAATATAAAGAAGAAGTGATCCAAGACCAAATGATGTTACAAACATTGTAAAACGCCACCAACGATAACCTAAAAATAAAAATAAGAAAGAAAAAAAATTTTTTTCTTTTTTTCTATTTATATAAAATTCTTCAAAATACAAAAATAGTAGAAAATTTACCAAGAAGTGCATAAAATAATCCAATAAAAGCAAGTGATGCATATGCAATAAACCAATATAAATCATAATCAATAGGTAAATTTAAATTACAATAATTGTCTATCATTGTTTTATTTTTTGATAACCAAGATGTACTATGATTTCGCATATTAGTCTATAATCATAAAAAAATATATATATATATGATCCTTATAAATTTTATCATGTGATAAAGAAGACATTTAATTAGATCAATGTGAATGCATAGATAGATAAAAATATGTAGGTGTATAACTATGATAATTACGTGAGATGAAAAGTTCACCCTCGAGCATGAACATAGCTCAATAAGATTCTTTTTCTATCATTGACAAGGACATCAACATCAGCACTTGACGACTATTCTCATCCTAGAAATATATTTGTTTCTTTCTTCTTTTTCTAACAAGTCAAGGTTGATCAAAAATGCAAAAAACTTACACGAATGAATTACTCTATGCACGATTCTTTTGAGTTTCATATAAATAAGAATAGATGCTCGTCTTCTCTCTTCTTTTTTTTTTTTTTTCTACACATATATCTCTTCACTTTCTCTTTCCTCTTTTCTGATTAACTATTGTGGAGTGTGCAAATGTAAAGCGAACGAAGAGAGAAAGCTTACTAAATACAACTGTATTACAAACGCTTCGATGACATAATAGTTTTTTTTTCTGCTCATAAAAACAGTAGAAAGAGGAGGAGAAAAATACGATGTGTGCGTATTGATAGCGATGATGATGATGAACAGTTTCTATCTGCATAATTAAGTTGAATCAGTCGTCTATAGACAGTTCACTGAATTAATGTGAGACTCATGGCAGCAGAAACAATGCAATGACACATGTATTCTGTCTTCTCGTGTCATACAACGACGACAAGATTTTGTCTATCTTTTCTTTTCTTTTTCTTTTTTTTCTTTCGTTCTGATTCTCTCTCTATAAGCAACGATATAGAGAGTAAAGCGAGTCAATCAGGAGCAAGAACAAACCACAGCTGATAGTCGGTTGACCTCTTACATGTTTTTTTTTTCTTCTATGTACAGAGTTCATATATTATTGATTAAGCACACAAAAAAACGAATGAAATATAAAAAAAAAACAGAAATCAATCATGTTGTTGTTGTTGTTCACGATAAAGTTGTTCAAGTTCATTTGTTTTTGCTTGTTGTTTTTTGATCATATCAACTAATAAATCAGTACGATCATCTGATCGAAGACTAAGTAGAAAAAAAATAAAATGAACACGTTAAGTATATAAAATGACATAAGACAATTTCTTTTCTACTTACTATCGTTTTGATTTAAGTACTTTTCGACATGTTGGACAAACTTTATTTTCAGATTTAAGCCAACGATGAATACAATCAGCACAAAAACGATGTAAACATGTTGTTGTTACCATTGTTTTATTGAATAAATCGAGACAAATGGGACACTAAAATAAAAAATAATGAATAATAAAAAAAAGAAAATTTGATGTTAATGCCCTTTTTCTTTTCTCTTACTGAAAGACTTTTAAGAACAGGATCAGCAGGAACACATTGAATATGATTGTCATCTATTAATGTTTGTGATCTTCGTTGTCGATCATAATCATTTAAGTCATAAAGAATATTTTCATTTGTCGAAATAAGTTTCTTTGATGTTCTTTGGCTCATAATCTAAAAAATTAAAAGTTATTTTAATTCTTTCATAAATTTGATTACTCAATATATTATAACTAACTTTGAAAACAAGGTCATTTCTAGAATATATATATTGCAAGGATAAACATATGTATTACATAATGGAATAGTTAGTTATCATACAAGTGATCAAATGACTTATCCAAGGTTAAATAATAACGATAATTAAACAAGAACATCTACGTTATTAATTAATTTTGTCTATCAAAATAAACGTCAACTAACAGAAAAATCTTCTCAATTGTTACCTTCTGGTTTCAATCAACTTTTTGCCTATAGATAGTACATATTGTTCTAATAGAAAAAAAAAAGCTCTAAAAGATATAGGCAATAGAATTTTTTTGTCTATGAATTCCAAACATTCGAAATACTCGTATTTCAATCTGAAATTTTGTGTTTATATAGAGAACTCAACTAGACTAATTTTCATAAAAAAAAAAAAATTCCAAAGTTTTTTATAAAGTCTCTTCGAGATATGAAGCTTTCAAAAAATGCATGTTGTTTATCTATTCTGATCAAAATTCAATAGCTTAGTCAAATCTAAATATCATTTAGAGTTCGTATTAGAACACTATGTAATATCTATAGATGAAAAATCACAGCAATCGGTAGTAAACATCTGAGGAGGTTCCCTCGTTAAACTTGCCCTTAAGCATTAATCAAGTTCGGCATCTATCATTAATCAAAAAGTACTTCAATGAATAAATCAATAAGATCAACTATTATTATACTAAAAGAAACAAAACATAACCTTAGGAGTTATATTATTCCATTTGTCATTCTAATACCTTAGTTATTTTAAAGTCTTGCCGTAAGAAAAAAAGTCAATTTTTCTTAGACACACATCTATAAATAGACAACCATTCTTTGAATAAGAATTTTTTTAAAAAGTGGCACTACAATATGATAATGCTCTGTTAAATAAATCGAAAATGAAGTCTATAGAATGAGCTATTTTTTTCTACTCTTGTTTATTGTATATCTCCTTCAAACATATGTAATATTAATTTTATCTGTCAAATTAAAAAATGAAAATATATTTATCTATTTGATTTTATTCATAATAATATATTCTACAACGTTATACAATTAAACCTGAGATATCTATGTTTGTTCATATCTGAGAAATATAAAGTGCATACAAGGAACAATTGAGCATTTGTATAAAACAAAGGAAACAAATACAAAGTAAAATACATCAAAAGAAAAAAAAAACAAACGAAATTAATAATTATCTGTGAAATCTACATAATTAAATTGTATTGAGATTAATTTGTATTTTTGTGTTAAGCATAAAATTCTTGTGGTGTTTTTGAATAACCATATTGATTTGGATAAAGAAGACCTGTTGTTATTGATGAATGTGTTCTATCACGTTTATTATAATTTTGAACAATACAAATAAGAAGTATAACTGATGTTAATATTCCAATAGCTAAACCTAAAAAATTAAATTAAAAAAAAAACAAAAATGATTTTTGATTTTTGATTATACTAACCACCAAGAATACCAGCAGCTATAGGTGGACGTGTTAAAAAATTTAATATAACACGCATAGATGTAGGATGAACAGTTGATAGATGTGTTGATGATAATGATATACTTGTAGTTTTTATTGTTGGTTCATTATAATAAGTATCATCTTCAAGATCATCTTTATAATCTTCATAAAATTCATTTACATCTAAATAATTTGTTTTTGTATTATTTTCATTTTTCTTTTTTTGTTCGAAAATTTTTGTCATTATACGTTTATTTGTTGTTGTTGAAATTGTTGTATGTATTGTTGTAGTTGCAATAATTTTTGATAATTGATTATCGTCATCATCATCATCATCATCATCATCTTCATCAGCATATTCATCTGGAGTAGCACTGTTACTACTACCTTCATTATGAAGTTTTTTATCATTTAAATAATCAACATCATCATCATCATCATCAACTGAAAATTGTTTCGGAAATGTAAATGTTGAAGATGGTTTATTTTTTATATTAGTTGTTAAAGTAGATTGAACAACAATAAAAACAAAAATAGATATTATCAAGAGTCGAATGAACATGATGAACTGAAAATAAACAACAAAAAAAAATTTGTTTTTGTTTTTTTTTATTCTGCTTTTATTGTTATAGATGAATAAAAGTCACAAAAATCAAATAATGATAATGATCATGTGTGAAAATGGTAAACAAATAGATTTCGTTATTTCTAAGCAATTTACCATTGGCCATTGTTTTAACAGAGATAAAATGAAATTATTTATCAATATTTTAAAATAATATTTTATTATTAAAAATTTAAATATTTTCTATTATTTTATTTTAAATAAAAAAAAAAGAAATGTTCATACATACACAAGATGTCGCTGTTGATCACTAGTTGAACAAAGAAATGCTTATTTTCATTGTGAAGTAATTCAATCATGAAACTAAGCACTGAAGATACTTACGATTTTAGAAAGTACTATGTTTTGCACTTTACTAGAAAAAAAGTAGCGGCATCAGGATTTTAGATTAGAAGAGGGCTCAGTGTTCTCCAGACCTCCTGTTGGACCACCATTTAGCAACTTTAGAAATCTTTCATTCATGCCCGAAGGACTTTAAAAATTGATATATTTCTAATTCATCGATTAAAACGGATATTTTTATCAACTTAATGCGCGATGATTACGATTAAAAGCCAAATTTATTGATTTTACTTTATTAAGATATCGTTTTTAATCAATGAATTTGAAATGCATCAATTTTTATGTCCGCTTTTTATTTCGAATATAAATTTAATAGTAAAAACTAATTTTATTTTTTTCTTTCTTATAACTAGATGCGAGTAGTAATAACTTTGTCTTTATTTTTATAGTACTTTATTCTAAATAACCAAATACACCGACGGATAGTTTTTCAATGAAAATTCTACTTGTGTCGGCGCCATAAAAAGAGGATATTTGCTTTTCTGAAAAACACTGAAAAATAAATTCATGAAAATGTTTTCGCATTTCGATGAACTTCTAATAATAACAATGAAGAACATTTGCTTAAACATCAATATAATTTCATATTATTCGATCAAACCAATACGTATACGCTCTTATTTGCTCGAGCTTAGAACGTAAAAAGACAATCACTGACATTTTATCTTAAATGTCTCTATTTAAATTGATTGTTTTAAAACTCTTTTTTTTATCTTACCTATTATCGAAGAAAGAGATATCTCTTTCGATTGGTAAAAATGACACATTACTCATTGCTATTATTCTCATCTTTTTTGTAATCTGACGATGAGAGAACGTGAGAAAACTTCAGTAGGTGATAAACCATTTTTCAAATAGAACATATCTTATTATTTAGATCTTATTCACACTCAAAAAACTGTACCTATGAGTTTCTCTACAATAGTTACACATACTTTACTATGTTACTGACTTTTAATGAAGTAAAATTGAAATAACGTATTTTGATTCGAGTTTCTTGCACGTTAGTAGGTCTGATGATACCAAAAATTTCCGTGGAAACAATATCTGGTTACCGAGATGATTAGCTTCTGAATAACGTTTATGTGTTGTAGATGATCTGAAATGACAGCCGCCTCAGAATGATAGTATCTATGCAAGAGAACACTTGTTTTTGCTGAAACTTTTGATGCATTCTTAGTATTCGTTTCACGTCATTACAAGTCAATGACCCAGTAAAATGTCTATAATTTAGAAGAAAAATTCATGGATAGACCTTTTCTAATCTAAATAAGATCTCTAATATAAGTTATTTGTCAAAAGCTATTTATCATTTTTCGAGGTTCTTCTGTTATTTGAAGATTTTCTTTGAATCTACACAAATTCTGAATGATTGATTTACTTTAATAAAAGTTCAGACTGTTTTAATTCACTAATATAACTTCATCCTTTAAACTCAACTGTAATAATGTATGAGAATATTAACTTTTTAATAAAACTTAACTACAAAAGATTAAATAAGTTATATGATGTTTTAAAATATTTTTATCAATTCACATAGTCACAATATTAAAGTAATTCATGAGTTATACATTGATAATTATTACCTTAATATTACATATAATGATTTCGTAACAGAATAATCAATATGAGTTGTTAGATGAGTAAGAACTGCTGCTTCTCTCTTCAAGTATGAAATAAACCTTCATGCATTCCGTACATATTATCATCGGTTGATCAGAATTTTTTTTTTGATGATTATCAACTCAACTATCATCAATACAATTACATAATTCGATTATTGAATTAGCTCGAGGATCATAATCAATAAATTCGTTTTCTATTTGAAAAAGAATAATTGAGTCATCTTCTTATAGAAATATATGATATAACATAGTCAATAATTGTTCAAGTAAATTGTTTCATTTGACATTTTCATGTTCCATTATACCCTTAAAACGATATATTAGATGCTTGATCAAGTCACACTGGTAATCTACCTAAATTTCATATCATACATTTATATTAATGCATAGCGTGATTTCTTGAGACAATAAACTTAAATCACCACGATCATTAAAATTTAATTCATCAACTAGACCGAGATACTCACAGAACTTAAAAATAAAGTTAACAGATATATTCTTGCTTTTGAAGATCTATATTTCGAATATACTATTAAAAAAAGATGGACAAAATCAGTGAAAACGAGATATGACCATCTTCGACTTGAGTTATCTTTTTGAATAAGTTCTCTTTCCATGAGTATATCTAAAAATATTGATTCTATCAGTTTCCATCTAATTGAGCTTAATTAGTTAGTGATGAACGGATCTAAGAATCTTAGAATAGATTTCAAGTTGCTCAGTATATCTATGAGGAAATTTTCAGCAACATCGAATACCGAAAGATCGTCTACCATAAACCGACTCTTTTTTCGTGTCACGTTGATAATGATACTTTTTCAATAATAATTCAGCGTAACAAGGATCTATAGTAGCGTTGTACAACTAGGTTTGCTATTTAACACTCAGCAATTAATGAGATATGGACAGTTTAAAATAATTTTACTTTTTTCACACTACTAATTGGTATAAAAGTCTAACAGTGAAAATCGGTTCGATCTCGAGTTTATTATACTTAAGAATAGGTCACAGAAGTAATAAACGAGATTATTTTACTAGAATAATTCAATTTTAATGAAAACTTATCTGTTGATGATGATAAACCACATGATAAAGTAACTAAATACATGAAGAGGAAAATGAACTCTAAAGACATCAAGTGAATTCTGAATCACATACTTTTTTTCTAAAGCTTGAGATGATCTCTTTTGTTGCTGTTTATGACAGAAATAAACAATATGCTGTGTCATATAGAATAGAAGTTCGAAAACTGTACTGTGACTATGAAAGTATCTGTCAATTAGCTTCAGTCCGGATCCGATTCGGGCTCGGTTATAAAGTTAATAGAAATTTTAGAGTTTATACATATATGCATTTTATATTGTGAAATCATTTTACTAACGAATGAAATAGCCTATATTAATTCTTACTTCAATAAATAGTAAAATATTTATTTCAAAAAATAATCATTTTAATTACAAAAAAGAAAAAAATCATTGATAAAATTAGTAAAATACATGAATATAGAAAATATAAATTATTGCATTTTAATGATGATATCCAATAGATTTGTAATCAATTTTAATTCCTTTATGTTTATGATATGAATAAGGTTCATGTTTTTCTCGAATTAATGTAAAACTATCAATTATTTTACCACCCTACAAATTAAAATCAAAAATTTCTATTGCTTATTTTTTTTTAATAAACTTACTTGATCATCTGATACTTGTTCCATATATAGATGAGTTGAATTAATAATTTTCATACGTGAATAACCATAATCATCAGAACGAAATGCTGAATATAATTGTGTTTGATTAAGAAATGGATTATGTTTTGAAAAACAACCTGCTGAACCACTAATAACATGTGTTGGAGCACCTGGATTTTTATATGGTTCATTCAATGAACCATTAAATATTGTCCAATTATAAATAGGCCAAAGTCTTCAAATGCAATTAAAAATCAATTTTATTATTTTTCATTTATTCTTTCAAGGCCCCCCCCCCACTCAAAAATCGATTTCGGCTCCGGTACATGCAAATCGCATGAAATTTTCCGGATATGTTAGGGTTATAGTGGAGAAGCTATGGTAAAAAATTCAGCTGTATATCATGACGTTTAAGGGAGATATTCACCAAACAAGGGTCAAAAATAGCTCATCTCGGGACATAAATTTCTCGGTCCCAGCTCGTGCTATATGCTTAATTTCTTNGGTCAACATTCAGAGGTGTGGTAAATAATACATTTAATTTTCTTAAAGAAGTCTCCAATTTAAACATTAATCAACATGAAAAGTTAGCAAGCTTAGATATTCAAGATTTTTTTACTAATATTCCTGTCACAAAAGTTATTGATATTACAATTAAAAAACTTGATGAAATGAATAAGTTGCAAAACGCATTACTCATCAAGACGAACATTTAAGATTCGTTATGCATTTGATTAAGAAACAGGTATTTTCAATTCAATAGCAAATATTGCAAGCAAAAGAAAAGTTTACCACTAGGTAACACGCTATCACCAATTTTAGCGGATATCTATATGGATCATTATTTAACAAAACACTTACATCATGTGGACAATAGTAAAATTTAGCGACATATCGATGATATATTAATAATTACAACAATGAATGAACATGAATTGAAAATTTATACCGGTGAATTTGTCAAAACCATAGCAACAAGAATAATACAAAGTATAGAAGATCTTCAAGGGCAGAAAGAAGATCTATTAAAATTGAAAGCAATATTATTAAATTATCATTGCCCACCATACGACATTGAAAAACTAATTAAGCAAGCTTGTGAAAACATTAATTCAAATTACTACGTTAACAATACAACAAATCAAAATAATATTAATCAAAAGCTCCATTACAGTTTATGTTTACCTTATGTTCCAGGATCAGAAGTATTAAAAAGAAAATTAGAAAAAGAAAATTAAATATCAGACTTTATTTCTCGTATCCATAGAACTTACAATCATATTTCAATCAATCAATGAAATACCTGGTGATTGTAGAAAAACATTATCGATCAAACAAAAGTCGGAATTAAAAAACGTCTAAAATAATATTTGAAATCAATTACTAATGATAAAGATGAAACATTAGAAACAATAAAACAGCATTATGATATGAAATACCAATGTTTATTTGATATCGATAGAGCTTGTATTATTGAAGAACATAAAGAATGCAGGAAAAGAAGAATTAAACAAAACACTTATTCAATAAATAACTAAGGCACTAATAAACATGATACATTTAATGAAGCTTGAACTTCAATGATTTATAAATGCAAACAATACATTGAAAGAAAAAATAAATTAAGCGAAGAAACATTTAACAAATACAGAAGAGCCAAAACTTAAAAAGTCAAGAAGTAATGCGAACCGAGATTATAACCTGCCCAGTCATTGCAATTACCGTCTTGTTTTCCGTATCACTATCTTATTAATCTAAATATTAAGTCTGTTCTGTTTTCTGTCATTTTTCTATTCAATTTCATTTTATGCATGACAAAGTCTTCTGTTTAAGACGAAACGTCGCAGAATTTATAAATAAAAGATCTAAATAACTCAANGAGCTGGGTGTGCGTTGCGGCTGCACATGACATCCACGCCCACACCCACACCCACACCCACACCCCACACCCACACCCACACCCCACACCCACACCCACACCCACACTCACTTGCATTAAATGATAAGGCATACTTCAATGATTATTTATAGATAAAATTTTTTATTAGAAGTGCTGAATATTGTCAAGATTTTGACAAAATACCTGGACCATAATTAGCTAAAATAGGGTATTTTGCACCACTATCTCATACGCTACGAGTCAGCCCTACTGTTCCGAAGGATTTGATCTATGAAACATGTAGAGGCCACTGGTGTGCAGTTTTTGAGAAAGTTTCACGTTGTTGCTCAATTGTCCTGTGGCACAGGGCTGAGCACACTGGAATGTTGTTTTTTCAATAAACAGCCTAGACCTGTGGAAAACCACCCTTTTTAATTATATAATAGCTGCAGTCAAACTTATCGATTATAAGCTATTGAAGACCATCCATAACTGTATTGAATTGTGTTTGAAAATGAGATTTAAATATATCTATTACAGAGCGCCATAAAGCTGCCAGTATTCATAAATTCTTATAGATTTATACCCGATATATGGGCCCTTATTACATGAAAACTCAATGAAAATTTAACTTCCAATATACCATTTGATGCGCATTAAAATTCTCTACAAAGCCATATATAGGACATCCTTGTGCCAACTAGATCACCAAATTCGACAGGGTCCTTTACTGAAAATGTCAATACAGATGTGGTTTCATTCATAAATTCGATTCTAAAGTAAACTATCATATGCTAAATTATTTTTTGTATTTGATATTTTCTTATCTATATAACTAATTCAATGCTAATTATTGTCGATGGATGTTGTTCTTATGAAATATGCGAATCAATGTTAACAAGCGGTATTTATTTTTACGACTTATTTAAGACTAATGATCATTTCTATATCGATAGTTTAATATAAAATTGAGCCAGTATTTGTGGGCATCATACATAATAAAGATTAGCATTATTTTTTAGTACATATGTATGTCAACAGTTTGATTTTAATATACTTTCATATCGATAGATTCCATTTGTCACTTTGATGAGAACATAGATCTTTCCAAAATGTTCTATTGTCCTTTAGTTTTCTAAAAAGTTGTACTTTGATGATCTCTGCCATCTTTCATTCTATTATCGGACTAATTAGTGTACTAATTTCATAAAATAACGCATTAGAATATCCTCCAAGTATCATTTCGATACATAGAAAACAATTGAAAAAAATGATTTATCGATGAAAAATTGTTCTCGATCGATTAATAAAAAAAAAAGTATTGCAAAATGGCAAAATAGTTCAGTGTTCTATATCTTATAAGAAATTTAGATAAACAATCAATCAAGTTTATTTTGTTTTTGTTTTACTCATGAGATAACTCATAACTTAGTATTAGACTGAGAAGCTAATTGAATTTGGTTGTACTTTATATATATTTTATGAAGCAAATAAATTCACGTATAGAGATAATTTCATAATGGGGAGAATAAATGGTTAACAATATGTTTTATACTTTTGTGACCGTGACGAGCTATAATTTTCATTACACATATTTCTAATTAGGATCTTTTATTTCTGAAATTTTTAATTCTCTAATAATAACTGTTGATGAAATACATTACAATATTGAAATATTTAAATTTTCGTACTCGTTTTCTCTATTTATTTTAATATTGAGAATAATGCAAAAAAATGAGTAAGAAAATCTTTCGATTTCAATCTTGTCAATGTAGTTCACTATTATTTGTAACTACAGAGCTGAAACTTTTGAAAATAACAGATCATGATTAAATATATACGTGATGAAAATTGTAGCTTTCTATATCTAGAAAAATATCAATAATAATTTATCCTCATTTTTTATGGAAGATTCTTGATATTGCAGTTTTGAATCGAGACAAAAAATACAAAATTTTATATGTATGATGAAAACTAAGTCAATCAAAAGTACAATTGATTCAAAATTGCAACTGTTTCATGAATTTATCTATAGAATGAAATATTAGCCTTATTAAAGTATCTGTTATAATCAGTATTTTTTTGTAAAGCCGATTATCGACAATAGAGATGAAGTCAATCTAAATGTTTTATAACTAGCATCAGTATTTAGTGAGTTGATTAATAAGAGTCGATTAACCATCGGTCTCACTTCTGTTTATGGATAATATTATTTGATTGATCGATTTTGAAACAAAATTTCACTACATCTACTTTGCGAACTAGATGTCAACTAATCATAGTATGCATCAGAAGAACTAACTTTATTTTGATTTTGTTAAATTTTTATCATTCCATTCAAGTGTATATGAAATTTTTTTCTTTACTTGAGGATGTGGGTATGGGTAGCATCTTCACTAATACCTAAACCCACGACCATCCATATACACACCGACACACCCACACACTGAATGATACCCATATCACACATCCACATTCACACCTTTTTTTTTGGATTTTACAAAGAATATTCTTAAGATGAGATGGAATTACTACATTCTTCCAAATATCAATGTACTTAAAATTTAAATTGATTTAATAATGTTTAATGGTAAGTAGTTATCGATACAAGTCAATCATAATTATAAAGTTCTTCTGTAACACATTTAAAAGATAATTTATTTGATGAATACTAAAATATTCAAGAGTAGGTACAGATGTAAGAAAACTACTGATAATATGATCATTGTTAGATCACTCATTATGTCTATCATTTATGATTATTTGTTTAATACTTACATGTGATTGGATCATCAAAAGTGGTTCACCATGTGTTAACACCGAAAATTTAGAAATAAATACAAATACTATCAGTGTATTGTTGCACTTATCAAAGAAAGATAATGCAAGCAAACAAAATCTTTTTTTTTTATTCTTATCATACAATTTAACTTAGAGGAGTTATTATTATTGTGAAAGTATTATTCAACGTACTTTTTCAAATAATAAGACTCAAAAGATACAAGCCATATGCGACAACTACGATCATCTCTAATACTTATTAGTTTGGCATTAGTAAGTGTTATTTGTGGACAAGAAAATTTACAATGGTGTAATAATGGACCTACGACTAATCCCGATCCGAAATGGATGAAAATTCCATCAAGATTTGAAATTATGACCGAACTGGCGTCGGGAAATGAAATAATGGAACTTTCACAAGCATTTTCAATGCAACGTGATGCAATTCTGACAAATTCAAGATATGGTTAGAAAAGATTCTTTTTCTTATATTATACTCAACTTTTACTTGACATTCTTTTCTCGTAGGATCAGTACAATTTTATTGGAATTTTGTTACAAACGAGCAATTTGAGGTTCTAACTGCTATTGTTAATCAACAAGCAATACCAACATGTTTTCGTCAAGTGATTGAACCTACATCAGAAACTAGTGTTATTCAACCAAATACACTTTTTATTAAACCATCAATTTTACTTGGTTTCAATCCTCGTAATCAAATAAATTCACTTTGGGGTAATCAATATATTGGTGATGAAGATCTGCGTGGTATTCCTACGAATAAATTCAAATCATGTTTTTTTGTACCCGATATCAGAGCAACTGTATCAGCAACATATTATGTATCCGATGTAACGAAAATTCAATCTAATTTATCAGCAAATCAAAGTATGATATTACAAATAGATGTTCAAATTAGAAATCAAGTTGGTCGTCAAGAAACATATGAATATAATGTGTTTCGTTATACACCAAATCCTAATCTTCAAGAAGAACTTCAAGCATTAGAAACGCCAGCAGGCGTATATTGCCCAAATCGAACTTCTACATTACCTGTACCAGAAAATATTCCTGATAGAGTTAGCTCAAATTCAGAAGCTTTCATAACACAATCGAATAGCTCAATTCTTAGTGCACATAATCTCTATGATACTGAATTGCAATTTAGTCGTATTGATCTTTGGTATCCTGATCCATTCGGTGGACCACGTTGGTTTTATTACACTGAAATACATGATTTTGCAACTGGTCTCAGTTATCAATACAATCATACAATACATCAATGTTCTGTTCGTGATATAAATACTGGCCTTAGTGATGCAGTGATAGTGGATGGAAAACCAAATCTAATACAAATGGGTTCACCACAACATGTATTTTTAATGGATGATATTACATATCAATATACTGGTGAAAAACAATGTCGTGATCGTGTTTGGTGTCATGTATGGATTGGTGAAAAATCATTACCAAATGATACAGTTCAACATCGAGAATGGTATTGGGCATCAAATATTAATGGTGAACCTTTACAACAATGGTTTCCTGTGAAAATGATTTTGCAAGCTTATGTCAAAGGTGTTTCTATATATAATTGGGAAACAAGTAATAGAAACTAATGTCGATTCAAAAATACATTAGGCTTGGTTGTATTCCAAATAACTTAGGCAAAAAAATGGTCAGTGATTTTCAGTATTTAAAAAAGGACAGATAACTTTATCAAATCATGTAAAAACTTGACGATCAGACAGGTCAGTATTGGTCAGCTCTCAATGAGACTTTTAGAAATGCTACCATTGAAAATTTTGCCATTATGTGTTAATTACTAAGACACTCATTTGATAGAAAGTTGAAGGCATTTCTCTATCTACGCCAGATCGACCTCTCTAGGTAGTTCCATTGCTAAATTATAAACGCTTTTCTAAGATCATCGAAATCAATCAATTGACTACTGGTCAGTTTAGAATGACTTGATTTAGAACGTTTTCACTGCGTTGAAGAGAAAGGGTGTTATTTGTTTTCCTTTTTGAATCAAAATGAAAAATTTAGAGTGAACTTTCAAGATCGTTACTTTTCATAAACCTCTAGGCGGGGAAAAACTGATTGTTATAACATTCATTTAATTGCTTTGTTTTACTTTAAACAAAACAACAGACAACATCCCTAATTTCAACGTTATAACTTAACAATGAAACTACCTCGAGAGATCGATATTGCATGGATAGAAAAAAGCCTTGAATTTCTCTATCACATGAGTATCTTAGCAATTAATACATAATAGCAAAATTAAAAATGGTAGCGTTTCTAAATTTCTCAACGAGAATTGACCAATAGTGACTACTGTGTGATTGTCAAGTTTTTACATGATTTGATAAAGTTATCTGTCCTCATTTGAATATTGAAAACTGCAGATCATGCTAGCGACTTCTTTGCTAAAATTATTTGCAATACAACTTACTTCACTGTATTTTATAATTAACAGTAGTTTCTATCATATATAAATTAATTATTTTATTTTATTTATAGCTATTTTCAATTTTCGTCGTCAACCAATGACAATTTTTGAAATTGATTTTACATTATCTGATTGTTATCGAGCTTTAGGTCCAACTGGTAGAAAAGTTTTCTTTATACACGAAACAATTTATTAATTATTTATCTTTGTTTCTAATTTTTTAGAAGGTTTTAATTTCGGTGTTGTATCATTTAAAATAGCAAATGAAAAAAAATATCCAGTACTTGAACAAATAAATATTTTACGTCTTCATATAGTCGAAACATTAGCTCTTACATTATTTGTACGACCAATTCGAATTTCAAATCTTATGGTTGATAATGATGATGATGATATTTTAGTTACTTTTACTTTACTTGATGCACCACCACGTACAGGACCTGTAGAAGTTCCCTTGCAAGAAGTTTCTCTCACTACATCTATCGAACATCTTCGTATGATGATTGATGCGAATAGCCTGGTCTTTCGAGTAAAATACGGCACTAATCAAGCTATTTTACGAGCGCGAATTAATTCGCTTCAAGTTATCTATACGAGTTCTAATCAAAATGTTAGTCAATGTGTTAATCAAACTTTTGTTACAACTCAAAATCCTAATGAATGTCTCGACACAACAACTCAACAAAATCAAAATATTGATCAAGGCATCGATATAGTTTACAAGAGTTCAGGTCCATTAATCACTGGTCTTTGGGTCAGTTTCATCGTTTTAGGCATTTTGATCGGTATAGTTGGTGGTGTTCTTGTTTTGCAACGTTTCTTCAAACGATGAAAAAAAATTCAATGACATGATAACAGCAACAAAACTAATGCTTTTAATTTATTTTTCTATATAGTTGAGTGTATTTTCTTTCAAAAATAATTGCACAATACAGATATTTTTGATAAACTAAATGATGAACGATATTTTCTCTACAAGAGAGAATGTCATAATTCTTCTATTGTTGAAACTATAGATCATGCAACCAAACGAATGACTTTTTCTTTTGATCACATGTCTATCGAGAGCCTTATTATGACAGTAATTATATATTTTCATGTATGCATTTAAATGTACTATGCAAGATAGATACTTATGAGTAGCTTCAAAGTGCAAATAGACATTAATGTCCAGTTTAGCTAAACAAATCTCAGTTGTGTTGATCATTGAACGAAATAAAGTAAGTTTTTCGCTATTTTTCATCTAGTTTGGCGCCCTCTATCGAACTCTATTATCATATAACTAAGGTGCTCCGTATCTCTCATGGCTGACAATAGTAGTGACGCTAATTTCGGAAGATAATATTGACAAAATAAAGTCTTTATCATCGCAAGATGATAAAAAAATAGATGTGTTGTCTATATTTTACTCTGTCATATTTTTGGTTATGCGACTTGAAGACACATTTTGAATGAGTAAGTCTTATCTGGTCTTCATCACAAATGTCAGTTTTTTCTCTCAAACACTTGATAAGGAATACTTCTTCAATTCAAGTTCAATAGACAACTTCTTTTCTTAGCAACCACAACAGTGAGATTTTGAGATCTAGTTGTCTCCAGACAATATAATTTGTGTTAATTGGCTTCGAAATAGTCTACTATTATCGATCATCGAACAAGGACAAGTTGAGATATTACATAACTCCCATGTGTCTAACTAAAGGTGTGTGTGAGTGTGGATGTCAAATCGTGATAAGCAAGTGATGCTAGATAAAGTAAATAAAAGATATTATTTAAATGAAAAAAAAAACGATTTACATTCAAATTGAACAAAATGAGAAAGCAACATCTAGAAGAGTTCAATTTTGGTTAAATCTATATGAAATATATCAAGCATGAGATGTATCTACTGCAGCTTGTAAATTTTGCATAGTTAAAGGTGTTTCTGGTTTCGTCCGGTCTGAGTTGATACTTTTAAAACCACCACTAACGCTGGAAGAAACATCAGGCGCTAATTTTTTGTCTAGAAGTTGAACAGCAATAATTGCGATCAAGCCAAGCACTATGCCAACAATAAGCCCACCGATAATAGCACCGGCTTGAGCTGCTGATGTGTATTTTTCTTGCTTAATTCGTTGACCATTGGTATGAGAATTATTGACCTTAGGAACTTCGCAAATGGAAGCATTGGCCTTAGAAATGTTGCAAATTGAAACATTGGTATAACCTACACTAGCATGAATCGACATAAATTGTTTGGAAACTTTGAGAGAATTGGGCTGTGCACTAAATACTACTTGTGATCTATCATAGTCTAACAGTGTCATATTAAATGTGAATTGACCCGTATTGATTGCTATCTCTAGACGTTGTCGAGATGTTTCCGCCGATGGTTCATTGTTTTCCGATAAGGGCACTGGACCAAGAAGAGTGAATAAAACATAGACACTATTGTCAAATTGAATGTGATCGAGTTCAATGTTGCTAAGGTGCTTCATGGTGACCTGCATACTAGTCATCAAAGCAAATGCCACATTTCTTTCGAGAGCACGTCTGTCCAAATGATTGCCATCTACTAAATTGTCAGTGCTTGGCTTGAGTACGAAACCAAGATGAAGATAATCCAGGTTGAGGGAGCGATAACATATACTTGTATCGAAATCAGATAGTTTCAAGTCATGCGACATTTCATAAAATTCATATTCAATATCTTGTGTAAGAATATTCGATGGTGATGGATTATTTGGATCTCGAAATCGATACACTTTTAAATATAAACTTACAGGATAATCAAATTGTTTAGGTTGATCGCTTGGCGGACGGGCATATGGTGCACGCATGGACCAACCATATTCAATATTGGTTGCTAGCCATGTTTCACCTGTCGACGCACCAGTATCTAAATCAACCATAGGAGGAAAGTTATCTATTGATGTTGTTAATATTGCACATTTAATAGTATTGCCACGACATGCTGAAAGGATGAAATGAAAAATAGAAATTGAAGTGAAACTTTTAAAAAAATCTTCAGTATTTTTTTTTCTTACATCGAAATCCATTCGATTCCCATGCATTTTCAGGTGGATTAAATATAAAATGAGCTTCATGCTTAACAAAAAATCGTATTGGATCATAAATAAAATTAACATCTGGTATGTATACACCTGCATTGATTTTACAACTACCAACCCGTTGATCAATAATATAGGTTAAATTATCAGAATAATCATGAATAATGGATTGAAAATCTTCAGAACCAGATGGCATAAAATCATAACGTAAACGTCTTGAACCTCCATCACGACCTAGATCATAACGTAAATGGAATCGTTGCCAACGTGAAGAACGTGATGTTGAAGTGTCAACACGAACAGAAAAACGATTTGGCCAACTAACACCAATATCTTTAAGTGATACTAAAGTTTGATCTGGACCACTAGCACAAAAAACACCTTTTGGTGGTTCTAATGCATCTGTTGTTTCCATAATACCTGGTCGAAATGAAAGAACATTGAATACTTCATCGACTTCAAATGCTTGTGTGCCATTTGGAAAGACAACTGAAGCACTAACTAATGCTTGAACAGGAATGGCATAATTTTCTATTGTACTACCCGGCATAGCAACACCTTGTTGAGCGAATGCCCATCTGCGTCGCATTGTTTGATAGGTTTCTTTCTTGATATAACAAGTTTGCCACTTATCTACTGGAATTCCACGTACTATATCTTGACCAAGATATATAGGTCTAACTATCGGTCGATTTGGATTCTCATTTGAAAATAACATAAATTCATTCATTGGACGAATATGCCATGTGCCATTTAATTTTACTGCTGATGCACTATCTAATGAATAAGAAAATAAAAGTATTTTAGAAAAATCGTTAAAATCTTAATAAAAAAAAATACCCATATCGTTTTCTGTTGGAATATTAGTCACAACACAAAAGTCTCCTCTATAATAAGTTGACTTCTTAAGAATATCATAGTAATAATATTCAACACTAATAAAACCATTTTCATTCTTAACCACAATTAATTTATTAGCATCATAATCATAAATCTGTTGATACATAGTTATTACGGTCGGCAAGCTTACATTTAATAAATGCTTAATTTCGACACGCTCTAAGGCAAATTCAGCTTTGTTTGAAAATTTAGGTAATGGTGGTCCAGGTATTGTCGAAGGTGCAGCTGATGGATTAACTGTGCATAACTTTGGGTCACCATTCCATTCGAGAGGAGATGTTGTCGTTGGATTTTGTGCATGATATTTAGAGATAAACAATAGTAGGAAAAAAACGAACCCATATTGTTGTCGCATTGTTATTTTATTAAATGAATAAATGAAAATGATATAAAAGTACTACTTGTAAACATGTAAAATTTAAAAATTGATAAGATAAGAGAACTTTCAGATACACAACAACGAAGGGATTGGTTGCTAAATAATTTTGTATTGTTGTTTAAAGACAAAATAAACCAAATATTACTTGAGAATTCAAATGTTTTAAATAATATTTGTATTTGAAAATTAGTTTTTATTCAGATCTAAGATTATTTCATCCTACTTTAACTTGCATAATCAAATTAGACGAAAAAGAAACTAAACAAAAAATCTTTTTATTTTATTGTTTTGATATAGAGAACTAGCAACGTGTGGAGTATCATTCATCATCAGATGAAATCATTTACTAACAAAAATCTTTACTTGTACTTCTTGACCGAAACGACACATATCGACGAATAGTTGAGTAAACAGAATCAGCAAGCGATAATGGCGTTATACAGGATATATGTGGATGTTGAGTATGTGTATATGAACAGGAAGATGCATGATTGCAAGTGTTGACAGATTATACTCACATCCACACCTACACCCACCTGCACCCATTCCCACTTGTACTTCATATAATATCTGTTAGATACGAAAGCAGCTTGTCTATCGAAAGAAAAAAATCTAATAAATCTTTTTTATTATTGTAACTGATACACTTTCGCTATTATGTGTTTATGATAAATTATACCTTGGGGCAAATCTTTGATGTTTCAGCGGTGGACTCTAGACTAGGGGTGGGAAGTTACCATTCCCAGACCGTTACCCGGTAACGGTAACGGTTCCTATGGAAGGAGTTACCAGTTACTTATTCCTGGTAACTTTTTAAAAAGACTAAATATCACTTCTATTGGACCGAATATTGACAATACACCAGTAAAAAAATTTGGAGTTACCAGTTACCTGGGAACGGGTCAGCTTAAAAAATAACGTAGTTGCAAAATCCTGTTGATGGGAAGTAATAATTCATCTTTCTAGAGAAGTTACCCGGAAAAAGTAACTGGTAACGGTAACTTCCCACCCCTACTCTAGACAGATATGATCAGGATTCTGCAAGGATTAGCTATTTTTTCCTGAGGAAACGACTAAATCCTGAAAGAATTGTGTAGCCGCGGGTTTTAAGGATCCTGCCAGGTTTCTAAACAAGATTTCCTAGAATCCTGACAAGTTTCCTATGGCTTTTTCAAATCAAGATCCAATCAGGAAAGCAATGATTCCTGAAAGAAGTGTGTAGTCGCGAAAGTGTAGGATTTCAATATTTCAAAATTGAGCGAAAAAATTTCTGATCATATATTTCAGGATTTTATTAGGTTTCTTCGAAGATGTTATCAAATTTCCTGGAAGAATCTGTGCAGAATTGCTTTAAGTTTCCTACAGGATATTATCAGTTTCTTGACAGGATCTTTGTAGGATATCCTAAATAGAATATAAGACAAATAAACACATAGGGTATTGATCTCTAGATCGTCAGTTTACATAGGGTGTGGGTGTGAGTGTGGGTGTGGGTGTGGGTGTGCAGGTGTGGGTGTGGGGTGTGGGTGTGGGTGTGGGTGTGGGTGTGGGTGTGGGTGTGCAGGTGTGGGTGTGGGGTGTGGGTGTGGGTGTGGGGTGTGGGTGTTGTGGATACATGAATCGTAGCCAAAATTCACCCACCCGCACACCCACCCGCACACCCACGCCCACACCCACACCCACACCCNAATAAACCGTAAAAACTATTTAAAACGGAAAAATTCAATGGTAAACACGTTTAAAGGGGTTTAAACGGTATAAACGCTTGATAGATGCGTTTAAACGCAGTTTTGACCGTTCATTGTCTGCCTGGGTATCGTTGTTTCTATGATAAATTATTTAAACAATATCTGCGATCCTTCCTTTGTTTTTCTTTGAAACTTACTTGAGAAATAGCTTGTTCATATATATCAATTTTTAATCGTTCAACAATTTTTTTGAAAATCTTCACCATGAAAACAAACAACATCTTTAACTATTCAATTAATTGTTCATCTTAAACAAATAAACGAAACTACTAAGAAAATCGTATATTAATTAATATAACATACGGTCTTCCAACATCTACAGCTTTTAATAGTCCTATAGCTGCTCTTGTTCCAAGTCCATTACTGTCACAATGATCACAATGTGGTCTCCTACGATCTTCAACAAGTAGTTCACCTGGATCAGTACCACGAGCAATAAATATTAAATAACGTTATTGATTTGTCATAGGTTTTTTTGGATGAGATTTTTAATGTTTACCTGTTGGTAGATATTGTTCACCTGGTCGAACCCATAAAATAGGTCGATCATTTCAATCTGTTGTTTATTTCATTTATTGAGATGATAATCATCCCCAAAGCATTACACATTGAACAAATAGATTTTATTCAAGTTTATCAATATATGTTGGAAAATAATCACCTTATAGAAAATCATATCTTAGTTAATATACTTATGCATTAAATCAATACTGATTATCAATCTCTAATAGTTATATTACTTATACTATGTGTTCATTATTTATTGTTCGAATAAGAGTACGTATATGAATGACTGTTATGCTCTATTTGTTTTACTTTTCCTTTGTTATATATATGATCGTCACCTCCTACTGTACCTATCTATATATAGAAAGAACTAATCACAATTATAAAAATTGAAGTAGATGAACAAATATTATTGACCGAAAGATGATTCGTATAGAACATGTTCATTTCATATAATAAAAAACAATTATTTTATAGACGACGAATCAACTAAAATCTTTCTTCAGGTCGAACTAATATTAGAATTTTAACAAAAATCCATATCTGTCTATAATAAGCGAAATTAGAAAGAATTTCTCACCTAGTCTCGAACATTTTCTAAAACACGATCTAAAAGAAATGTCGAACTATAGACGTTAAAATCTCGAACCATATCTTACAGGCTGTCAAAGACATCAATGGTTATCCTGTGCGCGAACGTCCGATCAGGCAAATTTCCACCTTTTACGACAAATTCTGTTTCCGAGAGCACGACAGACACTATAGGAACGACCCTTGTCAATTGCATCCTCTGGCAAAGTTACGAGAGAAATCCTCCAACTGATTAATTGATTTTCGTTCGGGATTATATACTTAGATCAATTGAAAAGTAGTGGCGGAAGTATCGTAATTCGTTATAGTAAGCTGTGAGGAACGTTTTTTTTCTATCAAGTCTTATAGAGAAAAGAAAGCGAAGATTTTTCTATGCTATTTTATCATACTCGAACTAATATTATAATAATAAACTTTCGATAAAATCTATTTCGTTCGGAGATGTGCTGATTGTATTAGATGATACTAGATGAGAAGATTAGATGAGCGTACTTTCTATTTCAAATTTCAATAACTTAATACATTTTATAGGAAGAAACGAAATATATCAGAACGATGCAGAGTGCAAAGCTCTACGATTTACATAAGACTACGAATATAATAATTGCACTTTTCGTCTTCAAAATAGTCAATATTCTATAGGATCAATTTTCGACGCTGGAAACAGGATCATTTCCTAGTAGACGACAAATTTCTTTTCTTATTCCTTCGATTACTGAGTCATATCGAAAGCGATAATCGATGGACGGTTTGACACCGGTTGATACGTCTTCGAAATATATTTTCTCATTCACTCTTCTATTACTTGTTAGGGACACATACAAACCACATAATTATAAATCACATCGGTATAACTGCTCTTAGCTAACGAAAAGAGATTAAATTCGAAGACCTTCGCAAAATTAGTCGTATAACATTCTCAGTCTTATGTAAATCGTATAGGTTTGCACGCTGCATCGTTCTGATATATTTCGTTTCTTCCTATAGAATCTCTTAAGTAATTAAAAGTTGAAATAGAAAGTCCGCTCATCTAATCTTCTCATCTAGTATCATCTAATAGAACCAGTTAGAGACCTGTACGGAGTCGCCATCGAAGTCAGTTAAATTGTTTGCCGAAAATTTCGTTTTATCATAAGAAATGTATTGACTTAGAGGTTTTCTTCTCAGATATTTAATGCATAAGCTGATGCATTTTCAAGGTTCGAACCATATCTAATTAAGGTTAATGAGCATGAAAGAAAATCGGAGTCGAACAAAATCGGAGTTGAATCTGACTCCAATTTTCTTTCATCTTCATAAACCTTGATTAGATGTGATTGGAACCTTGAAAATGCATCAGCTTATACATTAAATATCTGAGAAGAAAACCTCCAAATCAATACATTTCTTATGATAAAACGAAATTTTCGGCAAACAATTTAACTGACTCAGACGGCGACTTCGAAAACAACTCCGTGCAGGTCTTTACTCTTTTCTCTATAAGAGTGTATAGAAAAAAAAGTTCCTCAACAGCTTACTATAAGGAATTACGATACCTCCACCACTACTTTTCGACTGAGCTAAGTATATCATTATGAATATGTTAAGAAAAGTTTGGGCCTGAATCATAGCTCAACAGTTGAAAGACTTCCGTTGATTAGCTACGGAACTAAATCATCCTGTTGTGATATTATTATGGAAGAAGATTGAAAATTTCCATATCTGTCTTTGACTCTCGTTTCCGAAGTCAGTGTAACATAGTGGAAATAACTAATATCTTTGATCATGAAGATATCAGTGTATTGTAAGTGTTCTAAACTGAAGCATATCGAAATCGAATTGGTCATCAAATTGACCAATGAGATGAGTTGTTGGTGAAGATTTTCGAAGATGATATTCTGAAGATAATTTTTCTTTTCGATCTATGTAATAGTGTCAAATTATTTCGGATAGATAATGAATTAGCTCTGCCTAACTACTTTTCCGAATGATTACAGGTCAATTGGCTGAAATCGAGATTCTCAGAAAAAAAGTGTTAGAATTGTCAAAGAGAACAAGTTAGGAATATCGGTCTTGCTTAGATTGAAAAGGTAAATACCTTGAAAATATCGTTTTCGAGCATCGTCCACAAAGAACTGATGTGATTAGTCA